CCCCGAAAACTTGACAAAACCTTTCAGATCCCTCTCTCTCCCCATCCCCCTCTCCCTCTCTCCCTCTCTCCCTCTCTCCCTCTCTCCCTCTCTCCCTCTCTCCCTCTCTCCCTCTCTCTCGCTCTCTCCCTCTCTCCCTCTCTCCCGTCTCTCTGTCTGTCTGTTATAGGTACATAATGTAGGTATATTGTCAAAGTGCTGCGGGCCTTAGTTGATTTCTCTCTCGCTGTCACACTTTCAGCATGCTTCTGGGCGTGTTCGCTGCTTCACCCATGCCTATTCCCACTTCGATGCTTTTCACGCAACTTTGGCAAGCCGCCCTCAGAAGCATGGTCCCAATGAGATTCCAGTGATCGAGACGCCGATTTGGAAGATGATCCTGTCTCAGTTCGTCGGCCTTCTGGACGCATCTGATGGAGAAAGCTTCCCTGTAATCTTGTGCTCACACAAGGCCGATCACAGAAGGCCATTACTAGCAGCAAAAGCCTCCAAGCACTGGGACTGGAATAGAAACAGTCGTGACTGCGATGGCCCCATCATTGGAATCATAGGAAGAAGTGGCGGTGGTGGTGGTGGTGGTGGTGGTGGTAGTAGTAGTGGCAGCAGCAGCAGCAGTAGCTCGTACAGTCACATTCGTTGACATGTCTTTCGTCGTCGCGGTGTCGGCTGTGGATGCAGTCGTAGGTACAATGTAACAGGAGTGCTGGCTGTAGGTCGGAGGTCGTAATTTTGCCGTTGGCCCATTAGCGGGCAGAAGGTTGCGAATTAGTTTGCAGCAGTGGCCAGTACGTGACTTCGCGTCGTCCACATTCTGTAGCAGTTGTCGTCGTCCTCATCGTCGACTTCACCGTCACTGCCGTCGTCATCGTCGTCGTCGTTGAGATCGAGATCGAGGACCATGGTGATAGCAAGTAGCAATAGTAGCACCTGGTCATGCCATATTCTACCAAGGCACAATGCCAGTTATGCTCGAAGTGAGTTGCATCATCTCCGCAGCAGCTGGCGATTGGCCAGACTTCTTTGTGATCTTGGCCATGGTTCTTGCCGCTCGGCTCACGGCTCTTTCATGCTTCCTTGCGAGCATTGGGTTAAGGGTTTAGGGTTTAGGGATGCTGTGATGAATTAGGAGGGACGTCTGCAGTTGTGTCTCACCGACTCGAACTTGACGTTGTTGGCCGGTATGACCACAGAGCAGTGCCTCTGGCTTGCGAGCATCTTGCTGTCGCTGGGAGGTCAATGCTGCCCTTGGCTTCCGGGAAGAAATGAAAGCCAAGAATGCCTTGGAAGAGCTGACCAACCAGATGGAGTCCAGCATTCCATGCTTGCGCGACGGCAAGACTGAATCCCTACCAGTGTCGAAACTTGTCCCCGGTGCCTTGGTGCATTGACCACATCGTCCGTTCGATATGACCCTGCTGCAGTCCGTGCTTTGGGTTTATTAACTGCTTAGGTGTGCTATCAGGATCTCAGAAGCGTTTGGCTGTTGCTGGTCTGCAGGTGATGTGATCCACTTGCGCGGCGGTGCGCTGACGCCCGCTGATGTGGAGTGGCTGGAGGCCCAAACCTTGAATCAAGAATCCCAAGCCCTAAACTAGAACCCTGAACCCTGAACCAGCCTAAACCCTACCCCCCCTACATTAGGTGTTCCGGACCGGCTACCTCCGGGGGCAGATGGATAAATGAAAAGGCGTCAAAAAACCTCTATGCCCCAACCCTCCACCATAACCCTGACCCTAAATCCTATAGACCTTACTAGGCCAAAATTTCAATCCCCCTTTACCTTCAAGGGTGACACCTTGTCCATCGACACCGCCGCCTTGACTGGAGAGCCTTTACCCCGCAAATACCCGAGTGAGGAGTACGGCAAGATGATCTTGTCCCTCGATGGGCCTTTGGGGTATTTTATGTTTTCTCTTCTTGGGCTTTGGAGGACCTTATTTAGGCCTTGGGATGATTTGCACGTTCCCGGATTCGGCTTAGGAGCATTTTATTTACCAAGATTTTTGAAAGGCTGCAAAGGACCAACCTAGGTCCGGAACCACCGTCAAATCCGGAGAGGCCTATTGCATCGTGAGACTCACAGGTACCAATACTGAGATCGGGCAGGGACAGGCCGACATCATGGCAGATCGTGCTACTGCAGCTGTCTCCGTCTTCGAGCAGCGTGTCATGGTGGTCGTCAACATCATTATCTCCGTTGCGGTCTTGGATGGCATCATCATTGTCCTGGTGCAGGGCCTGGTCCGCAACGGCTTCGACGTGGAAGCTCGGCTAAGACATTCACGGCACCTAGGCAATCTCGCCCTGCGTTGACGAGACCACACATGAACTCGCTTGGCTCGTGTTCTCAACAGGTGAGTCGGCAGCTGTAGGCCGTAGCGCCAACAATGATGCATGACTATCCACGCAGAGGGCAGGTGCTTGCAGACATGAAGCGGCGCGCCAGTGCAGGAGATTTTCGGAGACCTCACCGCGAGCTGTGCAAAGTGCATTGTAAAGCCTGTAGCAGCTGTAGATAGCTGTAGCAGCTGTAGCGTACTTCCTCTGTATGAGTTGGCGGATGAAGGTAAACCCTAAACCCGAATCCGTACATCCAGTGCTCTCTCAGGACTTCAAAGGCACCTTGCTCACGGCACTCTCGATCCTCATTGCGGCCGTTCCGATCGCCCTGCCCTTGGTCCTCCAGGTCACCATGGCTATCGGAGCCTATCGCATGGCTACCGAGACTTGGCTTTGTTTCAGAACTTGGGGGACCCCAATCCTAATCTCCCTGAGCTAGAAACCCACACTGGGCCCTGTCTGACTAACACCAATGCAGAATGCTCACGGGCTTCGATGCCGCGGCAAACCGAGGATCATCATGCCATCGTGACGCGGATGTCCGCTTTGCAGGACATTGCCTCCATGGATGTGCTCTGCTCTGACAAGACCGGCACCCTGACAACGGCGAAGATGAGCATCAACTTGCAGAAGATTTGGACAGCCAAGAAGGATGGATTCGGAGCCTTGGACAACAGCTTGTACAGTGCCCCCAACCAAGAGTTGGCTTTGCAGCAGATGCTCATGGTGATGGGCATCTTGGCTTCCAACGCCGACAAAAAGGATGATGCCATTGACGGCTCTCTGCTTAGGGCATGGGAGAAGATGACGAAGGAGCAGGGCGAGGCTCCTGCGAAGATGAAGGCCGCCTTTCAGCAGCTGGACTTGACCGGCTTCAACCCCGAGGTGAAGAGGACGGGACCTATGTTAAGATAAAATCAAGCAAATTCTAGTAGAGTGCAGTATAGTATAATGTAGGTTAACATAAAAAAATACTAGGACCGTCGCCACCGTGAAGCGTTTGGCCGACGGCAAGAAGCTGATCGTGGCCAAGGGCCTAGCATCGAAGATCCTAGACACCTCCTCCGGTGGTGCGGACTCCGGGAAGCTCCAGTGGAAATGCGAGGCATGGTCCTGAAACCCTGCGCCCTAAGTTAGATTTCGCAACCCATTCCCAGTTGAATATCGTGTGCCCGAAAGACACAGGAGTGCAAAGAGGAAGGCTTCCTGGAAATGGTGCAGAAGACCGACCTGGACCGAATTGATCGTGCTTGTGAGGTCTTAACCTGTGGACGCCAAACCTACCTTTTCAGGACAATTATGTAAAGTTGTAAAGAAGCCATGTCCAGGAACCCTACAAGGGTAGGTTTATTCCGCTGCAATTCCTGATCATTGAGGGATCGTAAGAATGGTGGTTTAGGGTATCCTCTGCACCTTGACCTTGGCCAAAGGACTTCTTTGTGCCTTCTTTGTTTCGATGCTTTTCTGGGATCTCCCTTGCATTTGCAGTTCCCATCGGTTTATGATCGTTGGACTAGCACGGCTTGCTGCTACTATTGGTTTAGCTTCTCACCATTGTAGTTATTGTAGTTGCTACTCATCCTTCTTTTCTTATTCCAGTGACCCTCGTCATTGCCACTCGCACTGAGATTTCTTGTTGCAGGGGTCGCGAGTTTTGAGCCACTGGCCCACGAACAGGCCGATTACGCGCTTGCTGCAACACGAATATAAGCGGCTCTCCCACCAAGCTACTTGAAATCCTGTTTCTGTCCGCGCCCTTGAGCTGCCCTTATTTGCAGGAGCTGTCTGCGGCCGGCTACAAGACCATCGCTGTGGCAGCAGGTATCGAAGGAGAAGGGATGCACTTCTTGGGCTTGCTGCCGATGCTTGTCCGCACGATGAGCTTTGCCGGCTAGGATCGTTGTGGAGTGTTTCCCAACTGTTCATTGTCGATGGCAGCTGATGTCGGCTTGTACCGGTAGCTGATGTATGCTTGCATGCCTTGACACGCTTGAAGCACCAGGATGATCGACCCCCCTCGATTCGACACAGCGGTGACCATCCAACGCTTGCAGAACGCCGGCGTTGAAGTGAAGATGATTACTGGGGACCACCTGAATATCGCCATCGAAACGGCGCGAATGGTCGCTTGCCGGAATGAGTTCTGTAGAAGAGAAGTTGTAGGGACTTCACCTGGCACTCGCAATATGACTTCACATCAGACCCAACTCCCAGCCCGGATGTATGGGAACCACTGTGAGAGGGGCAAGTAAGAAGAGCAAGCCATTGAGAGGACATGCAATGCGGTCGAACTTGCAGGCCTGAATATAGGACTCCGAACTAAGAATCTAATAACAAAGACATCTCTCGTCCCTGCAACGATTGCGGTATACTGGAACCCAGAATTCTGCTGTACTTATTAAGGCCTCCATGTTATGTAGGCTTGGCTGTGCAGTGGTGCTTTTGCCTCCAAAACAAGGTTGGCATGGCGACCAACATTTTGCCAGGACAGGGTCCACGCTTGATGCCTTGTCATTGTCTCTGTGTCCGGAAGTCTACAGATTTCATGGTTATTTCTTACGGTTCCTCATTAGACTTATACTACAAAAGAGCCCAAACCCTGTTCTAATCATTAAGGCCCTACATTTACAGGATACCGACTGCGGACATTTTACCCTATGACGTTTGCTCGGAGGAGAAGCTACGCGTGAGGGTGGCCACACTGGTGACGAGACCATCAGGGAAGCGGGTGGCTTCGCCCAGGTGGGTTGACTTCGAAATGGAGGGGTGGGGTGGCGGGGTGGGGATGAGGGGCTTGGTGGGCGGGATATATATGTATATATATATATATCTATCTATCTATCTGGGGTGGCCGTGTGTGTGTGTGTATGTATATATATATATATGTACGAATCCATGTGCACACACACACACTAGCTATGTGTATGTCTATGTACATACAGGTACATGTATATGCGCATGTCTGTAACGAGAAAAGTGTATGCATGTATGTATGTATGTATGTATGTATGTATGTATGTATACGTACCTACATACATGCATACATGCAAGCATGCAAGCATGCATGCATGCATGCATGCATGCATGCATGCATGCATGCATGCATCCATCCATACATACATGCATACAGGCAGACATACGTACATACAGGCATACGTGCATACATACATACATACATACATACATACGCACATACATACATACATACATACATACATACGTGCAGACGGACTTACTTACTTTCTTTCTTACTTACATACATACATACATACATACACACATACATATACACAAACCTCAGACATGCAAATGTACATGCATATATACATGCATAAGTATATGGTTATGTACTCCGATATCAATGAGGCCACACAGCCTCATTCCTAACTAGCTATTATCTATTGCAGACCTACATCTACATGCCCGGCTGCACTTCGTGCCACCGGTTGCATTGGCAGCAATATCGGCTGCTCAAAAAAACCGGATGCAGCAGAACCATTTTTTGGAGCCGGCCAAGACCCAACCTTCTCATGTTCTTTGTGATCCTTCATCATCCTCCTTTTTTTTGTTCCTGATCTACGTGCAAGCTTCAGCTTTCTAACCTACCGCATCCTGTGTGACGTTTCTCCGTTCACAGTTAGGCATCCTATGGTGTCACCTTATCAGGTCTTATCATTGACAAATCTGACAAAAGCTTTTCGCTTTCTCTCTCTTGTACCTCCCCATTCAGCCGAAGCCCCAACCCTAATGCCCTCAACCGTAAAGCCTCTCAGTTAAACCACGAAGACACTCTTTTCCCTTTAGGTGCTCCCGCGAGACAAGCGGGAGTGTGTTTTGGCGCTCCAGAGATCGTATGACTTGGTGGTGGGCATGACAGGCGTGGGTGTTTAGGTTGCGGGGGTATTCTGGTTTCGGTTTAGGTTCGGGGCCTAGGCAGCTGTGTCGGGTGCTGTGATGCAGTTCAGGCAGTTCAGCTCAGGGTGTGATGACAAAAAGCGTCAACTATTTTGTAAACTCTTGTTCAGAAGGGCCGTGCTGGGAGCATTTGAGTGCTTTGGTATTACGCCGGCTTCTTCCTGTGTTATTCCAGGTTTGTCCATGCTATCAGGCGATGGTGTGAACGACGCACCTGCACTCTCCGCAGCCCAGTGTGGAATTGCCGTGGAGGATGCGACCGACGCCGCCAAGAATGCCGCCGCAGCTTGCCTGCTTTATCAAGAACCGTTATGCCACAAGTGAAACAAATAATTCGAATCAGAATGTGTTGGCATCATTGTTAGTAGTACTATCATCGATCATAACAGTAGTCATAACAAAAACAATGTCGTTCATAATGAATGGCAATAATACTAATGGTAGTACTAGTATTCCAGCTGGAGCTCAGGCCATGATCCTGACTACCGAAGGCTTGTCAGCAGTCTTCGGGGCAGTGGTGGAGTCCCGGAAGATCTTCGCGCGTCTTTTCTCCTATGTCTCCTACCGCCTGGCTGCCACTATCCAGATTCTCTTGTTCCTGAGCATCCTTGTCTACGTCTTCGATTGCACTCTCGATCCCTTGCACCCCGACTTGCCTTTTGAAAGTGGTTCTCTTCAGAGCTGTCTTGACACGGTGCTTCAGTTCCCGAGCTTCGTCATGCGGTTTGTAAGCTGCAACGCCCGTGCATGATTTAGGTACGTGATCCTGCTCGCCCTCTTCAACGACGTCACTATGATCCCCGTGGCGGAGGACAACCAGTCGGCGGCTGCCGAGCCTCAGCATGCCATGATCGGGCACCTCATCGGCTTTTCCATGACACTCGGCATCTTCCAAAGTGTCTCGGCCTTGTGGTGTCTCACGATCGTCCGCCCTGAGTGTATGAGTCCCCGTGCGCAGTTTCGAGTTTGTAAAACGGGTGTAATTCGATTGCCCTGCCGTCAGTTCTGCTTTTATTTTTCATACATTGCTGGGCTGGAACTTCGCCACCGGATAACCCAACAGATCTTGTGGTAGGCTGACGTCAAGCCTGCGTGAACATCCTGGGTCTTTGTTGAGCTCTGCCTCTGTGTGAGTGTGTGCATGTGTGACTATCTTCAATACAGCATGTTGCTGCAGGTGTGGCCTCCATCATCTTCTATCTTTGCATGGATATGGGCTTGATCAAGGGCATCGAGAGCCACACTGTGACTTAGTAGAGTAAGTAACTTTAAAGCTATCTGGGGGCATTATATAACATCATCCCAATGTGATCCCAAAGGTTGGCTTTAAAACCCTACACCCTAAACCCTGACCCCTAAATCCTAAGACCTGAGCCCTAAATCCCAAACCCTGACCCCTAAATCCAAAGCCCCGTAATCTCTGTAAGGTGACGGGGCACTACCCCACGAGCGTCCATGCTCAAAATGCGATCTGGCTCCAGGTCTCCATCGCTGCAGAGCTCCTGATCTTTTCCATAAGGGAAGCAGGGTTTGGGGTTCAGGGCTTAGGGTGTAAAGCTTGGGGGTTTAGAGGTTTAGGGGTTTGGGGGTTTAGGGTTTAGGGAGAATCCCTACCAGAGTCCCTCGCAAAATCCTTGCCCTCCTCCATTCGCTGCAGCAAGGTTCCTGATCTTCTCCGCCAGATCACCCGGGTTGTTCTTCTTCAGCAGGCTCGATTTCTATTCTATTACTCTGTTACCCATGCAGTGAAGCAGCCAGATTCAGATCTTGCACTGTAGTACTGTTGCTTGTTGCATAATGATTAAGTAATAATGGTATTACCGGATTGTCCACAACAGGCCCTCGAATGAGCTCTTGGCTTCTACCATGCTGGGGAATATCGTGTCCACCCTCTTAGCGGTTTACGCCTTCCCTGAGCCCTTGGATTCAAGCGAGATCATCACCATCTGGGTGCCACCTGGCGAGGTTTTAGAACGGCGCTCCTGTCGTGGCTGATGCAGTATGTTAGTCAGTCATCCTTTGAAGATAACTCCAGCTCTAAACCCGACTAAACCATAAGACCAAGAGTGTACCAAAGCCCTAAACCCTAAACCGTAAACGGACCCCTGCTACAACAGAGCTCTGTTCTGGCATCTGCACGGTGATCATGCGCTTCCCCCGCCTGACAGTATGAGCAGTGACTAGCACGCCGATCCGATTACAGGAAGATGGGGGGTCGAAAGAATGTCTGAGGTGCTGTGCCCGTTCGGTGGGCAACTTTGTATTCTGTAGCTGCTAAGCACACGGCCTGACTGCATTAGGAGATCATTCTAGTGTCCTGTTTGATTTTAACTCCTCACTGCCATGACATGCTCCTTCTGATTTCGATCATTGCGCAGTCCGTGTTGCTGGGTTGCTAGAAGCTGACTGAGCTGCTTTGCACTACGATTGTGTCGGTTGGGGTCTCAGGGCTGATTCAGGGCCCCAACCGTCACACAGGCTCCTCCCGGTAGGGAATTTCGGCTACTGTACCAGCAGTTGGAAAAGGGACCGCCAAAAACAACAAAAACGTAAACCCTAAACCCCGAACCGGGAGCCCAAGACCGAGGTACGACCTCTTGGCACTCTTGGCCGTGGACCTGGCCAAGATGGTGTACAAGTTCATCCACGAGGCTGAGGCAGCTGGCATCATTGAGCCTTGGATGAATATATGATGCAATTTATTATAGTAAGACTTGATTAAATACACTTTAATATAATGCAACATATTACGATACTGTATCATATAACATCATATTATAAGGCGGGTGTAAGGTTGTGTTAGGACTGAAAAGGGTGAGCGCCACTGCTGCTGCAATCCTCGTTGTGAGTAAGTACATTCTGTTGCCATTCTCATTGCTGTTTTTGTTGTAGTTGTGGCGGTGGTGGTGGTCGTCGTCGTCGGCGTGTTCTTGTCTGCAGGTGTTGTGAAGCCTTCCTCCTCCATTGTACTATCCAATATTGCCCTTGTCACCGTCGCGATCATAACTGTCCCTAAACCCTGAGCCTTCAACTTCTAGATCTGGTTTTTACTCTCAGCCTGGGCCCTCCGAGGATGAGTATCAGATCGAGCAGGAGGACAAGTCCTTGCAGCACGGGGATGAGACGAAGCCGATTGAGAACCCAGAGGCTCACATCAAGAAGTACCGTGAGAGCGTCATGATCATGAAGCAAAACAGCACCCTGGCCAGACGTGGCAGCAAGTATCGACTTTTTTTGTGTTTTATCTGCAGGTTTCCGGTAGCCTTTCTGGACTCGGATCTGCTTGAAGGCGTGCGCTTGAGCCAGAAGCCGCGCTCCTCCATGAAGTTCTTGTCTACAGGGCAGCAGAGATCCAGCCGGATCGTCTCGCAGTCTTCCAATATGTCCAACAAGAACTTCACGCAGACGCGCACTTCTATCCGAATGGGTGATGACTTGCGCAAGAGGACTCCTGCCAACTCCATCCGCATCAAGTGAGTGCTGCAGCAGTACTAAATTTTGCCTGCCACCCGCCAGGGCGAAGGCAGTATGGTTTAAGCCTTTTGTGCCTGACAGGCACCGTGTAATCGCTTAATATTGAAGCAGTCTCATGACATTAACCAGACATCCAAAGGTTGGCGAAAAAGTGTACTGAGACAGCCAGCATTGCTAGAGGACTCTGCTAACTACTCATCATGGCCTTCGCACGAGAGCTGCCATAATTCTCTCCGAACACGATTTGCCGTTGCTGCCTTGCTGGCTTCATCATTCTGAAAGTCTTTGCGCCGTGTCAACAGCAACCCGTGCCACGTCGACACAATATTCGAAGCGATAACGCTGATGTGCGTGGATGGCTCAGAGTTGACTCGTCATGATCTTTATATTACCGCAATTGTAGTTTGTTGTCTCTGCATTCTTCTTCATACTGTAGGCTACTCTTACCACTTCTCTCAATTCAGGTGTACGGGACTTTTCGCTATTTCTACTGCTCGCGTCAAGGCAATCAGCAATGCACCAGGCGACCTAGCCGAACCGGGCGTTCAAGAGATAAGCAGGCGAGGGGATCTACTAAAACTCGGGGGGTTCCCGGAGACCCACAATGCCCCGCATGGTGGTCTCTGAGGATTCGTGTTGCTATGGTTCTGATGTCTGTGATGGCGACTTCACTTCAAAATCACTGTTGTCAGTCGTTAAGCTTGTTCTTGTTGTTCTTGTCGCTGTTGCTAGTTGACCTCCTCGCTGATTCCGGGGTGTAGCCAGCCGCTCAAGCATGCCGAGCGTATGCCTGGCGACTGCGCAGGCCGAGACCCTAAACCGACAAAGCCTGTTTAGGGTTTAGGGTGTAGATTTAGGGCTAAGGGACGCCTGCGCAGCTTTGTAATCACTGCAATTACTACCAAGTGCGACCACGGTTGTGATGATTCTTGTCTCCATGATGACGGCGATTGATCTCAGCTCCACTTTCGTTGCGACTGCGAGGTCAGTCTAATCCTAAACTCAAGGCAAAAACCTTACATATTCATTCCTACCAAAAAACTCTTGACAATCATGCCCAAAATGCGGCACAGCAGACGGCGGCTCTGGCGCCGACCAGGGCTATGCTTTCCGAGAGAATGCGACGCTCTTTTGAAGGGTTTTCCGCTGTTCATGGTAGCATTGCCGGAATCAAGACAAGCTCCCAGTTTCGGGTCCATATGAGGCACAAGGATCCTCTCTGCGTTCATATTGACAGCTGTTGGCTTTCGTGACATGAGTCTGCCCCCCCAGTCTGTGTTTTCGATAAAATGATGTCTCGCCCTTCCCGTCAGTGCCGCCTGTTTCCTTGTTTTTCCTGTTCGTGAGTGCTTTTCTTTTCTGGCGCCAGTGCTTGCTTACATGTTGCGGTGTTGGCATGCGATTTGTGATGCATAGTTGTCGTGATTCCCCCTTCCACGTCCAGTGATGAATTGATCTGTTGCAATGAGCGCAGCTACAGACTTGTAGCTGTAGGTCCATGCATGCATACATGCAGGCATACATCCGAAAACACCAAGTCAATATCAGCCAGGATTGGCCGATGATTGGCCTTTGTTATGTGCATAATTGTAGATAGATGTATACATATATATATACACACACAGCCATACGTCTATACACATACATACAGTTTAGGTGCATATATGCAGGTGTGTATGTGTGTATGTATATATATATATGTATACACATAGAATATACATGCATACGCATCATTATGTGCATATGTTTGTGTATGTACATATATACATATGTGTGTACGCATGCATGCATGCATGTATGCATGTATGTATGTACATATGTAAAACATATGCATCATATAACTGCATATACATACACATATACAGATGAACACACGGCAGGCGACTTCTATGGGAAGTTCCACGCGCTGCAGACCTTCGCTGGGCACCCCCTGCGCCCTCACTTCCTAGGTGCGTCTCAGCGCTTACCTGTGGCTCACAAGACCTACCTCGTTAAGGAACTACACATAGAAACCATAATAAGGAACCCAAAAAGGTAGCTCTCTTCGGCTACAGGTACGTAGGGTTTAGGGCTCAGGGTTCGATGTACGGCTTAGAGCTTGGTCTTTAGCTTTGGTGGTTGTGTCAGAGCGGGGCGAGGGCTTCTTTAACTCTCGGAACCTCACATCTGCCGCGTCTTTTCCAAGGCCACAGCCACAAGCCGCGTCCCTGTGCTCCTCGACATTTATCAATATCTCGTCAGTTTCTGCAGGCAGCAGGTAACACTTACAAAAACCAGTCTCAGTATACGTGTGTGACTCTTGTCTCAGTGCCACTGTACATTTGCAAGCATTTCTTCTGCCACTCCAACGGCCATGACTTCCTTGGAATCCTGGATGCAGCAGTTGCCGGCAGAGGCAAAATCCCGTAGCATCTGCGAGCTGGCACTGCCCGGGGCCCACAACGCAGGGGCGAGTGAGGTGAAGTGCATCTCGCCTTTGGTCTCCAGTGGAGGCTATCTTGCTAGCGTGGCCAAGAACAGCGTTGCCAATGCGCTTGCAAAGCCGCTTGCCGGAGTCATGGCAGTATGCCAGGCGGATGGCATCGGTCAGCTGCTGCGGAAAGGAGTTCGTTTGCTGGATTTACGTCTGGGGCTGCATGACGAACAGCTCTACATCTGCCACACTGTGGTGTGCAATCGGACTTTTTGCAGTGTGCTCGAGGAGGTAGCCGAATTCCTCCGTGAACAGCCGGAGGAGGTCGTGGTTCTCTTGGTGAAGCGTGACTGGGGCGCTAGGGACTACTTCGACACCCAGGACAGGACAAGGCATAAACTTGCGTGTTGCTTGCCGTCTACTTGGATTTGTCTGTGTTTTTCTATGTATGTATGCATGTGCGTCTCCATCTATATATCTATCTATCTATCTACCTAGCTTTCTGTCTATCTGTCTATCTATCTATCTATCTATCTGTCTATCTGACCTATCTGATGCATCTGGCTGTCTAGCTATCAATCTATCACGCAGTCAATCAGTCAGTCAGTCGGTCGATCAATCAATCAGTCAGTCGGTAAATCAATCAATCAATCCACCCATCCATCAATCCATCAATCAATCTATCTGTCTATCTACATGTATGGGTATATGTATATGTATGTGTATATATTATATTATATTATATTATATTATATTATATTATATTATATTAGATTATATTATATTATATTATATTAAATTATATTAAATTATATTATATTATATTAAATTATATTATATTATATTATATTATATTGTATTGTATTATATTATATTATATTATATTATATATTATTATATTATATATTATTATATTAGATTATATTATATTATATTATATTATATTATATTATATTTGATTATAATATATTATATTATATTATATTAAATTATATTATATTATATTATATTATATTTTATTATATTATATTATATTATATTATATTTGATTATAATATATTATATTAATTTATATTATATT